AAACGTAACATTAATGTACAAAGCCCTAGCCTAAGCCCAAACCATCTTCTTCAGAGAATGGCCCCACTGTTCCAACAATCCGGTATTCTTCCTTGCTTCCTGCAAAGATACGATGTCTTTGTCCTCGACGAAGCCCGACACCTTACTGCCAAGTGCCGCCCTCTGCACCTCATCACATACAATATTCACGATTTCTTTCTCACTCATCCTGCTTTTCTCCTGGCCCTCGACACTAGCCAAACTTGAGCGCGCAGGGAGAGCCTTGAATGCCAAGATCTTCATGCTAGATACCTCCTCTTTATCAATGCCTTGACCGGAAACACCCTCAACATCGGCGTCTCTGGCACCGTCCAACTCTACAGCGCTGCTTAATGACCTGGTATTTACTCGCGCAATGTCCTCCTTGCCCGGTCTGTACTTTATCACCAGGCCAACGTTCCTAGATTCGTCGACCTGTGCCGCCGTTAATGTCGATGTTATGTATGTTCCGCGAATTATTCCCGTAATGCTTCGAAGATCGATCCTTTCGAAAGAGGATACCTTCTCGATGTTAAAGTCAAAGCTGACCCGGTATAAAGCTATGTCTGTGACGAGGAGTACGGTTTCTTGAAAAGGGAACGTCTTCACTGTGTTTTGCTCGCGTGGGCTCAACAAGGTCCAGCCCCCAACAATGTCTTCGCTTTGGTCTGCTATAACAATCTTGGAACTTGTTTCAATCGCATTTGCCCTCACTTTCTGCATCGAAAATCCAGGGTCCCTACTCATCATGTCTGTCTCGAATTCCTCAAAGACCTGTGCATTCACGTTACCAAGTAAGTAGTCTATTGCAGCCTGCGAAAAGTAATCTGATATAATGTTGTTGAAATATCTTGAAAGTGTGAGTCCAAGATCATTGATCGCGCCACGGTAGTTACGCTGTCTGGTACGAGTATAATCTCCCTTGAGGGCTGCTGAGCTCGCATATTGGCGGGAAATCGAATCACCGTTGTCAGCCCATAAGGTATTGAACCACTGCGTGGTCGCATCTGTGCGAAGGTCGACTAGAACACCCTCTTCCTGCAGCTGCTTTTCCAAAGCTCTTTGACCGCAGGCGCTCTGAACGACGTTCGTCCTATCAAGGCAGTCCATGCAGTTCGTACGAAGTATACCAGATTGTCTTTGACGGACAATGCCTCCAACATCGACAGTCTCCCCAAATGCATCGAGTCTCTCGCCAAGGGAGTCCATGAGAAGACTGACATTTTCAAATTTCATGCCGCGGCACATGCGGTGGAAATCGAACCATTCGAAGCCTAGTTGCCGCCCAGCAACGCCGTTCTCTGCATTGATCTCTCGGGTATATTCCTCGTATTTACGACCGATTTCTGCTTCACCGCCATGCTTGTCCACCAGAAGCACGATCTGTGCATCTTCATATCTACCAATAATGCTGGAGAAGTGCCGCCTGAATGCTTTGTGGTTTGTCTCCGATGAATGCTGCAAGACTGGTACAGGCTTGAAAGAATAGGGGGACTGTGAAAAGAACAAAGGGATGGAGCCACGAATCTGTGTGAACGAGTAAACCTTTTCGGAGGGCTCCCACGATACCTTGGATAGTATTTGCTCCGTTTCCACACTGTTCGCTGTGTCGCCGTCATCATCAACACCTCTACGGAGATATCGAAGGCCAGGACGTTTTGTACTGCGACGTGAGATGAGCGTTATCAAGAAGTTTAAATCTTGTCGAACAGACTCTTCTTTCCTTTGGGCTTCAATGAAACTATTGGTGTCTTCTTCTGTGCGGACTATAGCTTCTGAAAGCTTGTCGGGCTGCCTGTTAACGGTAAAAGCCCGCTGACCAACGAAGCCTTGCATCAAAGGCAATACAAACATACTAGAATTTCTAGAGTCAGCAGGATTTCTAGTAGTTCTAATTTGACTTTTTAAGCAATCCCAGGTGATGAACAGGAAGTGATGCGAGTTTTTGATCTATGATATACTTTGCGGCTCAATTCTGGTACTAACTCGGATGAAGCACACGAAAGCCTGCTTACTGATGTCCGCCATCGATGAACGGTAGTGCTAGATGTTGGTTCCAAAAGTACTAGAACAGGTCATTTGTCTGAGAACGTTTCTTATACAGATAAAGTTGAATCATTGACTGACCACTGGATCAACAGACTTGTGTAATGGTATCTCGGAGCCTTTACTATCATTCGTTCCCAGTCTCCGGGTGATATCTAGCTCATAAGAAAAGAAGAAGCTTCGAGATCCTAATAGCATTCGCGTCGTTCGTAGAAGCTTGGGGAGCAGGGTATTGGTCACATTTGTGGGTAGGCTACCCAACATATCACTCTCGCCTGCCTGATTCGGTACTTCGAGATCGGATGTCCGGTCAGAGCTCTTCGCACCGTCAAGCGTTGTCGCTGACGACGGGTTTTTGTATTGCGGGAGGTGCAAACCTGTCCCCTGACTGCTCGATATTACCGGCTTCTCAACGCCGTCAACAGACATCCCTTGTGCCCTTCGCTTCTCAGTGGTCCAGCCTTTCCTTGAAAACCATCTCTCTGCGAAACGGCCATATTGACCTTTTTTCCCAATTACGTCTTCGGCAACGCTGCTGGCGTTCCGTGCCGGACCGAATGGTCGTATTGCCGAAGGGTCCTCTTTGATTGACGAACCTGCGCATGCTGGCGATACTTGGTCATCGTGTTCAGGTTGGCCAGCCTCGACGTGAGCTTCATTGTCATCCGAAATGTCGCTATCTGGGGATAGGGCTCCATGTTGGCCGGACTTCTTCAGGCTTTCCTTTGCCTGGTTGATGGCCCTTTTTGCCTCAAATTGCGAAGATAGAGGTATCAAAGCGACATCTGTAATAACATAGATGGGGGAACCTCGTACTTGCGCTACTTGTTCGCGACTTAAAATGGTAACTAGGTAAGAGAGCGGAGCAACCGTGAGCAGTCCTACAAGCGCAACAACGTTAGTGAAGCTCTCTCTTACTCGCATTTGAATTGACTACCAACAATGCCATGGAATTCGGTGGACGACGAAGGGTCTGCGAGTGCAGAGTATGGGAGAGTTCGTGCTTGGTGTAAAGAGAGTTCGTGCGTGGTATATTTGATCTCCAGGCTTCGCTGGTTACGTGAACCCGGTGGGTGTAGTATCAAGCCTTCGACCGCAGCAACAACCACCAGTTTTCTTGCGAGACCAGGCATAGCTACTTCGTGGTTGTAGCAGTGCGGTATGATAATCTGCGAATAGGTTGGTCGGAGGAGTTGCTATTGCTCTGGAAGCCTGTCAACGAACCTCGGACCCCTCGGATGTCATGCCTATGTACGGATGTAGACCGAGGTTTCCCCATCTGGTCTTTCAGCCCTACACAATCTAAGCGAGCTAGCGTACCCTTGGAGGAGACTATGTACATGTAGTCAGATACGAGTATGTAACTTGGGCGTTGCAAGATTCATTGTTCGACCCAGGAATATTTACACAGATACTCTGATGCGCCAACATACCACCTTGGGTATCCATGCCAGACATATACAAACATACACACGCTCCAAAAATTGGCTCTGGTGCAAGATCAAGACGCCAACCAATGCATAGCCATTGTTCCCGCTCGTCAAATTCTGACGAATGTCGGACCCATGCTGGCTTTCAGGGGCATGATGGAGGAACAATCTTTCATGTAAACCAAAACTATGGAAGATGCCTGTTTTATCGATCATCTCCTTTAAGTCGATGGGTACCGTTGTATCGTCCATTCATGCTGTTCACACTTGAACGGCTCAGTCCTTGGTCTTCATCGCTGTCCTCCGCGAGTTCCTCTAGGCCGAGTCCGACGTTGTTCTCTTCGAATGAGTGCATCAATACTCCTCTTTCCCCTCTCGAGCCAAAGCCGGCACTACCAGTGCTAGCTCGACTAGCATCTATGCTTCGACGTAACTGCATGCTTCTCCGAGTCTGCAGGCCTGTTATCCCGTCCGTAGGAACTCCACCCGAGATATGGCCATTAAGAAGTTTTTGACCGTCGGGATCGCCACGTGATAGGTTTAACAGGTAGACTCCCGTGAATATCACCAAGAATCCGCTCAAAAGAGAAAGAGTGTTCACCGCATCAGTTGTATTGAAACCCCGGAAGAGGATGAAAGACGCAACCAATGTGAAAGTCGTAAAGGTAACATAGTATAGCGGATTGACTCTTTGAACCCATTAGCGAATTTCGCTCGAATACTCTGGTCAGAACGTACATAGAAGTTGAGAACTGACTAAGAGCTTTGTTAAAGTAGTTCATCTGGGTCAATATGCAACATACAGTGACGATGGCAAAAGCGTAAGTCGATGGGTGGGTAAGTTGGTTGTTCCCGTTCAAAGTCAACTTCAAGGCGATACCGAAAGCCTTGACTGACATGACGGATACAGATCCAACCGTGGAACAGATTGAGATAAATATCAGAGGGTTTTTCTTTCCATGCTTTGGAGCGACCTTATAGATCATAACGCTGGAGAAGATGGCAACCGCAGCACAGTAGAGAAGAAAACCTGCAATAACAAGGACCGTTAGCCCCTTGAAACGCACGCAGGAAAAGAAGGCCGTACCTGGATGTATGGCATACTGCAATATCTCATCCACAGTTTGAATCTCCTTATCCGGGGGTGCATGCAGCACTATTATGACAGACCCAATGAGACATAAGGCACATCCAAGTTTCCCCAGCGTACCCAAATCTTCTTTGAGAAAGTATGACCCCAGTACGGCACCGATCAAAACACTGAGCGCTCCCAACGGCGTTACCAGTATGGCCGGCGCAAAAGCATATGCTGCGAAATTGGCCACTTCACCGAGTACCATGGTCACGATGCCGCCCCACCACGTAGGACTTTTCAAATATGCAAAGCCTTCACCTTCAAATCCATGCCGCTCGCTTGCCTCCAGTAACCCTTTTTTAGTTATGACAAAGCTTGTCCCAATGGCCATCGTCGACAGTATGGCCAAAGCCAAGCCGACATATTTGTCCTCCACCATCTTGGCCTGGCAAGGAATTGGCCTACTCCAACGGCTCGAATTGAGTCGTTGCCAGCTTTTCTTGATCGCTTTTAATGGCCACGCAGCGCCAGCGCGGCAGATCGTCTGATGTCCTCGATCAAGCCTCCCGTCGACACTGTATAGGACTCATGTAATAATGAACTCGAGAGTTTGGCGGGTTTTTCAATTTGATGGTGCCTAGAGTCGAGGTACGGTACCTGAGAGCTTGGCAAGGAGATTCGCAACAAGGAGGGTAACAGCGACCGGGAGGTGGTTCGTTGATTCGGCTAATTAGCTAAAATGAATGCAGGTGTACCATATCTCGAAATATGAATGAGGGCAGATGAACTGTGTCTCAGGACGGATCAATGAACAATGGGGAGCAAAGGGTGTTCATTACTGGAAACAAAAGGACTCTTTACCCAGAGTACAGTCCTACTCGTACTTTTCTCTACTTTATTTTAGGTGTCCACAATGCGGAAACTAAATCTTGACCTGCCCGGCCCGTTAATTAGCGGTATCAAAGATTCTAGGTATTTTAACTCTGGGAATCGGACGAGCGCCGAGTAAATACCAGAGGTGCAGCACAGCGACAACTTGCAATTGCTGAATGACTCTACGTATATCGTCTGTCCATATCCTTCACAGCTAGTCTCGTTGCAACTTATCAAGGGAACAATGTCGCTCAAGCACTAAAAGAGTCAAAGGCTAAGGAAGGGTAGGGAAGAAGAGCTGTTGCGTCCCTGGGCATTTACTGAACTTGCTGCTGAAGAGAACAGGTCATTGCCCAAACACTCCTGGGGAAGAGAATCTCAGTCCGAGAAAACCTGTGCTGGACTGATACCTGTCACATATTGACACTCTTACTGCAGCATTGCCAATCTGCCACTTTACCCCCTGACAATGTGCCAATAAGTAAACGAGTCATTTGAGGTGAAGTGGCCTGGATTGTTGAAGTTCTGCAGTCAAAGCTTTCATAGAATTCTCCTTGGTGCCACAGGCCACCTAAATCTAGCCAAGAAACGCATTGGCGGCATCGCCTTACTAACAACGAATTCAGCCACCTTATGCGCAGACTCCAACCATGCATTATCGCCACAGTAAGGAGACGCCGACGCCGAGGAACTCGATAGAATCTCCAGGAGAGCAGGGGAAAAGAAATGTCAGCTAGCCTTGCAATTCGCAGGCACTCGAATGCCTTGCAATCCATGCGAAATATCCGGGGGTATCGCGTGTAAAAGGGAAAGGGGGGAAGACATAGTGAACAGAGAAGCGGTGAAATGGCGGGTCTGTGAATGCCATGAACTTACCGCACCGACCTACCTTTCCTCTTGAGGAACAAAGAGGCCATAAGAAACCTAGTAGGTGTAGGCAGGTTGAGCAAGCAAGAGTGTGGTTTGTGGTCATGCACCTCCTCGACGACCAAAAGACCAGATGGCGGTACTGAAGCGCTAGGAAGGCTGTGGTTAATTTGCTGATTGTGTTGTCGATGTGAGGACGATGGGTGGAAAAGGTCTTAATGGACCAGTACTCGAAGGGTCAGATAAAAGTCATTGCGCATCAGAAGATGAGAGCCATGACGGATTCATGGCGTTCCAAGTTTATCCAGACCGGACGCGTTTAGTACCTGTAAGAGCCGTTAGCCTATCTTGAACTTTGATACCGAAGTTCCAAAGGATGATCCCTACCTTGAAGATCCTCTTCTAACGCGTCGTCGTCTTCGTGGAGACTTCGAGCACGCTTGAGAGATCCAGGACTGGTTGCGACGTTGTGCTCTGCCTTCGCTGGCTCAAGGGGAAAGTCGGTATCGTATTCCTCGTCCTCGTAGGTAATCTCATCATCATCTTCTTGTGTTTGTGCAGACTCGTCGACGAAAAAAGATGGTCGTATATTCACTCCCTCCGGCGGCTGAGGGATGTCGTCATTGTCGTCATTAGCTAATGACCTATCGGTTTCTTCGAGCTCATTCTCCGCTTCCAAATTGTTTACTTCCCTCAGGTCATCATCGCGGAAACTCCTCCCAGATCCAATAAACTCAGATTGGATTGGATGCGTCGAAGAGTCATGTTCAATTTCACCGTTGAAATTTGTGTCAGCTACTAGATACAAGTCACCTTCGATCTTATCTGCGTGCTCATGCATTGTGTGGTGCCGGTAAGATCTTGCGTCGTCCTCATACTGCACGGAAGCTTTATGTTGATCATCATCTTCGTTGACACTAGGCCGTAACTCTGTTTCTTGGGAGATGCTAGCATCTTCATTTTCTGGTGCTTCCTCTTCTTCATTGAATTGCCCGGAGAGACTCTGGCCCTGGTCGTCAGAATCTTGGGATAGATTTTCCGCAAGATTGAATTGTTCTTCTTCGGTAGGTACGCCAACGTCACTGGTATCCTTCTGGTCCACAGATTTGTGTGGAATCTCTTCGTCTGCAACGAAATTTTCCTGGACATCATGGGGATATCGGTGCTCCTGATTGTCTGCAATGACTGGCTCGTTGGGGACGGTGCGATCCTGGACTGCACTAACGTCAATAGCATCACCTTGTAAAGTAGACGACGCGCTTGAGGTGCCACGCTCTAGCTCTTCGACGTCTTCATAATCAATGAAATCCCCATCTTCCACGATAGATTCTTCCGCTTTCTGAAGTTCTGATTCACCGGCCAAAGGCTGTGCAAATTCAAGAGATTCCTTGGACCCTGCGGCCTCGCTTGAAAATCCAACACTAATTCCTGCTTTGTGGGGGTTGTTGTCACTGCCAAGCTGAGGCTCTGTACGATCGATTTCTTCGTGCGCAACGTGCGTGACGGGGTATGACTGCGTCCCTTGGGCAGCAGAATCAGTCCCTAGCAGAGGGTTCTCTGAAGGCAGCGGGTTGCTATGCAAATCACATTGATATATGCTCTCCTCCGCATCTTCTCTTAGTCGTTGCTCGGATGAATAAGTCTCGTTCCTCGATAGCACGGCAATATGGCTCGACGAGTCTGTTTCTCGTTCAGTCCTGTGGTCCCCATCATTCTCAGTCTCTTGGGACGACTTCAGCTGGGAGAACCCTTTCCCTTCGATTGCGGCATTCTGTAGGAGGTCAAGACGGCGGGAAAATCTATTCCTAGAGGTAAGGTCCATGTAGAGGGGTGGGGGGTCTTCTAGTCCATCGTTCTGTTGCAAATGAACATAGAGTTCAATGACTTCCGAGAGCCTTGTACTCGTGGATTCTATTGTAGACTGTTTACATGAGCAAAGAAGATACCCTTTGAGAGATATCCTTGACTCACTTCGCTAATATGAAGGTCCAAGCCATCAATGTTGATTGTCAATTCGTCGAGCTCGCTCAAACTTCCTTTAAGAATGCCCCTACAGGCCTCGAGAAGATCCCCAATAGGGCTGTAAGCAAGCCGTTCGTCTGTTAATAAGAATGTGGCAGCGTGTTCTCCATTTTGGTCTACGGGAGGAAATAAGAACATTTCGTTCCCTTGGTAGTCCAACATGACAGGATGCAGGTGAACAGGACTGTTCAGAGGGTCTTCCTCTTGGGTGTGAGATCCTTCGACGTTCAACTGAACCACAATTTTTTGATCTAATGAGGCCGGCAGAAATTCTTCTCCTACCTGCTCAAGCTTGGCTTCTGGGGCCAATGTGGGCCCCTCAACATCAGAGGGTTCCGAAGTTTCTTCTGCCGCCCCGTGTTTGACTGTGGCTTCTTTGCTGACCTCGACATCGTACCTATCGGATGTCTCTCTCGTTGCTACCTCGGCAACAGCGTGACCAGGATTCGGCAGTCCCGTTTGGCCATTTGGAAGGGCCCTCTCGATGTCACCAGATTTTAATTCGGACATGGACGGGTGTTCGTGATGCCCTCGTTCGTTATACTCTTGTTCTTGGTAATCTTGCTCGTGGTCCTGGTTCCCAACGATGTCCTCATAATTGGCAAATGGTTCCTCAGATTGCTCATTCGGATGATCTATGTCTGGCTCAACGATCGTGTCCTCATCCAGGTCAGGCCCAGTGTATTCCGCATCCTCGATATCTTCGTCGCGTACAGATGACCCTTCGTTAACCTGCCCCTGCGCGTAGCTAACATCACCCATCTCGTCGTCATTGGCGGCATGAGTTTCCTGTCCATCCACAGATGTTGAATAAGCAAGAGTGTTCATATTCTCTTCATCCATGAATTCATCTTCGACATCCTGGGGGTTGTCGCCAGTGAGGTCAAGATCAATGTCAATATCGTCACCGGCTCCAGCGCGCTGATCTATATCTGATGTGAGCTCCATTGGGTCTTCGGCATTTGGCGCTTGGAAGCGTGGGGCAAATTGCAGTTGCAGAGTTGTCATGATTGAGGGATGCCAGGAGACGTGTTTCTGTTCATTTTATTTGGGCTTCAAGTAGGAAGAAGTGTTGGAAGCGTGGGAAATCTGTGTCGGTTTTTGTGCTCTATCACAAGCTGTGAGAATAGTTTTGAATAACTGGATGCTGCCGTAGTGTTGTCGTCTGGAAAGGATTGGTACAGCGGGGGTAGCGGTGTAGGCCGACCGTGAACGTTTGGTTTGGACTTCGGAGAGGCGAAGAAAGAGGTGGTGGAGCCAGAAATACGGAGATTGCTTTAGCGCGTCCTGCTCCTATCAATCGCAATGTTAGCTTTCCTAGACCACAGAAAGTAAGTACAGTGAAACCTACCACGTCTCAACAATTCGCTACAGCCTGAAGGCAAGCTGCGATCCTGATAGTGCTCTCTCCTGTTAGGAAAACGCTGAAGGCTATGTATTGTTTCTCTTGAAATTGAATCTATATCCATTGGATCTGTGCGAAGATGGTGAGATCATTGTCCACACCTTTCTGGTTCCGAGTGCTAAATAATCTTAGGTGGTGCTTGCTGCTTCCATTTGTACGCGGGGAGGTAAAGCGGTATTGTCACGCCAATTCCGTGAAGTAGCACGCTCAAGGATTGAGGGGCTTCTGGCATCCTTCCCAAAGCTCGCCGACTCTGGCACGCAGCATACTACCGTGGAGCAAGACAACGTTCGCTATGTCTATCAGCCACTCGACGAACTTTACATGGTTCTCATCACCAATCGGCAATCCAACATCTTGCAGGACATCGACTCTTTGCACCTTTTCGCCCAGGTTGTGACGAGCATCTGCAAAAGCTTGGACGAGAGGGAGATCCTTCGAAATGCCTACGAGTTGCTTAGCGCCTTCGATGAGCTTGTCACTTTGGGCTACCGGGAGAACCTGTCCTTGAGCCAGATCAAGACCTTTCTTGAAATGGAAAGCCATGAAGAGAGGATACAAGAGATAATATCGAGGGTATGTCTTAGTTCTGTGGATACTTTTAGATGATATTGGCTGACCAAGCCTCAGAACAAGGAGCTCGAAGCTACGGAAGAGCGCAAGAGGAAAGCCAAACAGCTCGAGCTTCAACGAAAGGAGATGTCACGCAGTGGACGCTCCGCTACTCCTCGAGCACCGTCTTATCCAACCTACACTCCTCCTCCTCGACCCGCCGGTCTGAGCACTTACGACAGCTACGAGGCTGAAAGGAACAAATCTTTCAAGTTAGTCTACCTAAGTGAACAACATACAACTCAACTGACGATGTTGCAGAGCGTCTGCTCCCAAAGGCAAGGGCATGCAGTTGGGTAAGAAATCAAAGACCATAGACATGTTTGAGCGAGTGAGAGGAGATCTCGGTACACAGGCTGAAGAGTCGGCCCCCCTGGTGTCGAACTCACAGCCCATCACAGCAGCAGAAAGGGCACCCTCGACACGTGTCTCTTCATCAGTCGATCGCGATGCCATCCATGCAACTGTTGACGAGAAAATATCTGCCAAGTTATCAAGAGATGGAATCCTCAAGTCTTTTAGCGTCAAAGGAGACCTGCAATTACGCATTTCTGATCCGGCTCTAACAAAGGTCAAGCTCGATCTGGTTGCCAATGCTAGCCAAGGGGCGCAATTCAAAACCCATCCTAATGTAGACAGGGGACAATTCAATACCTCGAAGGTGATTCAACTTAAAGATACCTCAAAGGGATTTCCCGCGAACAACTCAGTTGGTGTCTTGCGATGGAGCGCGACAGCTCCAGCTGATACTAGCGGTGTCCTTCCGATTACCTTTACCGTATGGGTGAACAAGGGCTCAGACGAGTCCTTTACAATCACCGTTGAATACGAAATGACTGGATCCGACAGCCTGCATGATGTGGTCGTGACCATTCCGTACAGCACCAGTGAGCCAGCTATATCGAGCTTCGATGCTGTGTATGAAGTCTCAGGGGATAGTTTGGAATGGACGATCGGTACAGTGGACGAGTCCAATGCAACGGGAGCCTTCGAATTCGAGGCCCAAGCAGAAGATGAGGCCGAGTTCTTCCCAATGAGCGTGCGCTTTTCAAAGAGCAAACCATTCGTGGACGTTGACGTAGGTCCTACCCCATTGCAGTCAATGCACAAGACTAAAACGTAGAAAACAGGTCACGTCGGTAACATTATTAGAGATGGAGCAAGACATGTCCTTTACCAAAGACGTCAAATCCGTTGCAGATTCCTATTTGATAGAATAAAGCATTATGACAGTTAAAAGGCGTCTATAATCATGGCTATTGCCAGCGAGGTCTGATGTTGCCTGAAGATTTGGCCTCGCACTGGCTGGATGGCACTCCCTGCTACCAAAGGTATATTCATGGGGCAAAAGTGCCTTGCAGTACGAGTACCACACATATGTAGAATGCATAAGAAGTTTGTTCCAGCGCAATTCTGTAGCTGAAACCATCCAACACGGCTCAAGCGGATATGGTGACCCTCACAGCGCGCGGCGAACAGACGCTGATGGCCATCAACATTTTGTTGCAACAGTGCCAAGAAACTGGCCCCCTAGCACTTATAAAGTAGAGTAGTATGGCAGCCCTACCACGTTGTTGACCTAGCCAAGTCTCGATGAATGAGGTATGAAGAGAAAAGAGCGGGCACATTCTGCTGTCATTCTAGCAGCATGGCTGGTCCACTGGCGGAGAAGCTGGTGCAGCCTGCAGTCAATCCCAGACATCTGGCATACTGCCCATCTATGGACTTGATTGCATTGGCGTCGATTGACGAGCATATTTATGTCTACAGATTGAATGGGCAACAGGTCTTCGGCATTGCAAACAAACAATCTGGTAACGGAATAAAGCAAATCAAGTGGAAACCTAGTGGTTAGTCAAACATTTCCCTTCCCTGTGCTCCCTTTTACGCAACCTTTGAGTACTGAGTCTCCTCGAGGTCAATCACTTGCTACTGCATACGACAATAATTTCCTTATTCTGACAAACGCCCATACCGGAAAAACGGTTCACCAGATAGACTGCTCTGCGTACTCGAAGTCCCAGATATGCTGCCTAGGATGGGGCATCAATTTTACTGACGGTAACAAAGTTGGCTGGGAGCTCGATAAATTCAAAGATGGAGTGACCTTGGATGATATGATAAGTCAGAATCCTCGAGTGAAGTCCATGGATAGTGTGCCAAATCTACCTCTGGACCTAGCTTTGCTTGATGTAGAGGCATCCTTGCCTAAGCTGAGTCCTTTGTCTCCTGGAGGAATTGAGTAGGTGCCAGAGATGGAGGGAATAACAGCTACAAAGGCTGAAAAGACGTAGGGATGACATCTTCAGTTCTCGAGCATCGTTAGACACTTTGTTTCAGCCGCTGACAATTGGCTCGACTGATTCTGCAGACATCCTTCTTGTCGGGTTTGAAGATGGTACTGTCCACCTCAGTATCTATGACTCCTTTGAGATCGGTAGTTTCAACCTGCAGCAGGCGTCTCGTGGATTCCGGAACTGCAGACCGATTTTGCACTGCTCTCACCCCTATTCTACGACTCATTCCATGCTCGTTTCAGCTCCCATCGAAGACCAAGAAGAACTGCACATCGTGCCACTTGATCTCCGCTTGCTATCGAATGCTGGAAGATATTTGTCCTTGTTGGCATCAAAATCTACACAGCTCCACAACGTCCTACGCTACATTCATCAAGTCCAACGACAAATGTATCATGATTTCAAAACCTCTCGAGACTTGCCCAGCAAATACATCGCCAACATTGAGGAGAGTTTACAAGAGCAGGCAGATTACAACTGGATGCAAGCTGCGTATCATCTCGTCGTCACTGGGGATTGCTATCCTGAAGTCAAAGAATGGTTAGTAGATCAGTTGGGAGAAAGGGTATGTATTCAATCTCACGATACTCTATATTTGCGAGTTGTCAACTGATGACCATCCCCTAGGGACACAAGCGATGGGAGAAGGCCACAACGACTGGTTACGAAAGTGTGCGGCGCCTCGCTCATGAGAATCTGCTGCCTGCACTAGAGAGGTTCACCGTTCTCGTGAGCCGGCTTCGTGGCTTGTCGAGGTTCCAACTCTCAAATGCCAATCTTGGGCTGTCAACACAAGAATTCGACGATGTTTTAGACACTATTAGTTGTCTCCAACTTATGGCACACCAGATCCTTATCACTTCTGGTTCGGAACTCCGTCAATTCCTTGCCTTTTCCGCTTGGCTGCGCCAGGAGATTGAAATCCAGGCCTCCGATGCAAGCGTGGCAGAGTTCGCAGAGAAAGATGTCAACCTTGATCACGCTAGTACGCTCGAGTATATCCAAGGCGCCATGACGCAAAGTCAACTTGCCAGCTTCTTCATCTTGGAAGCGCGTGCGGAGGAGAAACCCCCACGGGATCTGGCAGGGGAAGGAAGGTCCTTGTTCGAGCTATCCAAACGGGGGCTCCAGAACGCCAGCAGGGAAGACTCCTCTGCCAGCCAACTTCCCCCTCTTGATGCACTGATGAAAAAACTTGATACGCAATGCAATGTTATTTTCAAAAGGATTGCAGAAACGCAGAGAAGAAGTGTGAGATTCGGTGCGCCCGTTTATCTTCAAAAGGGCGTCCCGTCCTGTATGGACATGAGGATGTTGCATGAGGTATTGATACGCCTACCTATGATGCCAGACGCTTTCGCTGATGCTTCGATGTGAAAGCTTGTTGGGGAGAAGAAAGAATTGGTCCTTTACGTAGTTCTAGGTCCTGTGACTCATCAAAGCGATGGTATGATTTTGTGAATACCACTATGTGGAAAATGCTAAGCCAAGACTAGTGCGTATCTATAGAATCGTGTTGGAAATCAAGAATGGGATGAGCTCTACAAAGAGCGTGGAAGGTGCTGTAATCAAGACGGCTAGTTGGGAGTTCAGAGATGTCAAATTCGTCGATGATGATGAATTGGTGTTGGCTGTCTCCGCAGAGTGTAAGCCTGCTGATGGTATTGTGCTTACCCGTCGCTTTAGCTAAGACTTCTCCAAGCTTCTTCTCAGCTTTTCAGAATCCCATACCGAGAATCAGCCAATGCCTCCGGTAAATTGGCGTATGCTACGATCAACGAAAGGAACGTCGGGCAACGCATGGATGGCAATACTGACCATTCCAGCATTGACCTTTCGAGACCAGACGTCGCCAGCGCATATATGTGGCAGGAATTTCCGGACGGAGTCTCTTGGACTCCAGAAAGAATGGAGGTCAATGGTAGGAAGGGTAGACGGGTTATCTGTGTGCTTGCTCAAGACAGATTCCATTACAGAGTATATGACTTAGACGGCTCTTCGAGTGGTGGGGAAGTCCAAGATACTAGGACTGAGGGCAGTGATGAGGTCATGTCTTGAGAGAAGAAAACCCGCATCTCTCACAGCTTCAGAAAGATTGGATCAGGGTTTGGAAGATGCTTTGGTGGATTTTAGGTGATCGGATTAGGATCACTCTACAGTAGCATTCATGTGGGGGACAAGGAACACCCAACCACTTTCCGCTATGTGGAGGGTGCAGTGCTCAGCGTCTCACAATGCATAGAACCGCAATGACGGGCAATGTGTCGACGGCGGAGTGACTAGGGGCAAGCCACTGCGCCTTGGATCATAGTGTCCCAGCTTCAAGATCACTTCATAAGTTGACCCGTGGACTAATCAAAATAAATGGTAGACTTTTGGAGGGAAAAAGTTTTGCATGGAATAATAATGCTGTAGTAATAGTAGCAGTTGCAGAATTTCGCCGTGAGCACCAAAAGTCTCAGATCTCGCTTCCTGTTCGACACTCAATATCAACACCCCACCATTTTACGTCGAAAACTCATACCCATACGCATTCAGGCGGGCTCGTCTTGAAAAGACTCTTAGCTATCAACTGTCTAAGATCTCATCCCTTCGACTCTTTGTAGTCATCTTCTCCCAGGCGGCGCACTCAGTCGTGTGACTTAACTTAGCCCTCCTGGACCATGGACGTCAGCCAGGTGCTTGAGAGCACTTTCTCACCAGGTGCGTGTACACGAATTCGCGCGTCTTGGGAAATAAAACGACGTTCTCGGAGCTAATCATTATTGTGTAGATGCATCAGCACGTCAGAATGCAGAACAGCAGCTGTCCCAAGCAGCTGAGCTCAATTTTGTGAGTCTTTCCGTACTGTTTGGCGTGACGCCGCAACCGTGTGCATCATAGATTGAGAGCTGACTATCATGTTAGTCAACATATCTGATTACACTTGCGCAGGAACTTGCAAATGAAAAAGCCCAACCGGGTGTTCGTCAAGCCGCCGGTATTGCCCTGAAGAACGCATTCTCAGCGCGAGAGTACACTCGTCTACGCGAGATTCAGTCACGATGGCTTCAGAGTGTCGATGTCAATACCAAGAACTCTGTGAGGGAGCTGGCCCTGCAAACACTCGCTTCGAAGGACACACGGGCAGGCCAGGCTGCAGCGCAGTTTATCTCATCAATAGCAGCAATCGATATTCCACGAAATCAGTGGCAAGAATTGATGCCCGCTCTGGTAGAGAACGTCGGCGAAGGCGCGGACCACCTCAAGCAGGCCTCTTTACAGACCATTGGTTACATTTGCGAAGCTGAGGACCAGGACCTGCGCGATAGCCTCGTACAACATTCCAACGCCATTCTTACCGCCGTCGTCCAAGGCGCGCGGAAGGAGGAGAGTAATAAGGACGTACGACTGGCGGCTATCAACTCGTTGTCAGACTCCTTAGAGTTCGTGCGGACCAACTTTGACAATGAAGGAGAGCGGAATTATATCATGCAGGTCATTTGTGAAGCTACTCAATCTGGAGATAACCGCATTGAAGCCAGTTCTTACGGCTGCTTAAATCGGATTATGGGTCTCTACTATGACAAAATGAAATTCTACATGGAAAAGGCACTCTTCGGACTGACTATTATGGGCATGAAGAACCAGGAGGAAGATGTGGCCAAGCTTGCGATCGAATTTTGGTGCACGGTCTGCGAGGAGGAGATTGCCATTGAGGACGACAATGCTATGGCTGCCGCTGAAGGGTCCGAGTTACGACCGTTTTTTAAATTCGCTCGGATAGCATTTCGCGAGGTTGTGCCTGTACTACTACACCTCCTAGCTCAACAAGATGAAGACGCCTCCGACGAGGATTACAATATTTCGAGAGCAGCGTACCAATGTCTGCAATTGTATGCTCAGACAGTCGGTGGAGAGCTCGTACAGACGGTGCTAAGTTTCGTGGAGGTGAACTTGCGGCATGCGGATTGGCATTTCCGTGATGCGGCTGTCTCAGCTTTCGGTGCAATCATGGAAGGTCCAGATGAGAAGATGCTCCAACCCTTGATCAAACAGGGTTTGCCTGTTCTAATTGGCATGATGGACGACCCTGTTGTCCAGGTCAAAGACTCAGCAGCGTTCGCGCTGGGTCGAATCTGTGAGAACGTTTCGGAATCTATTGATCCTCAGGAACATCTTCGACCACTTATTGGGGCTCTCTTCGGAGGTCTCTCGAGTAGTCCGAAGATGGCAGGCTCCTGTTGCTGGGCCTTAATGAACCTTGCGGAGAGATTTTCAGGAGATCCAGGCTGTCAAGAAAATCCTATGTCACCACACTTTCAAGAGAGTATACAGCGATTACTTGCTGCGACAGAGGGGTAAGTCATGCGCCTCAAGCTTACGAATGTTACTGATAATTCGTAGTCCTGAGGCCGATAACCAATTGCGGATGGCTGCCTATGAAGTTCTGAATGCGTTCGTGACGAATGCTGCAAACGACAGCCTTCCCATCGTCGCCAAATTGTCGGAAGTGATTCTTGAGCGCTTGGAAAAGACGATACCCATGCAACAGCAGATTGTAAGTGTAGAGGATCGAATTACGCTTGAGGAAATCCAGACGAGCCTTACCAGTGTTCTACTTGTAAGTTACCTTCCATTCGCGGACAAATCTCAAGGACTAATTGTCGATGTCTCAAGGCCATTGTGCAAAGGCTGGAGGGGGAGATCAAGCCTGCAGCTGACCGCATCATGAACGTGCTTCTGCAAATTCTGAGTTCGGTCGGTAGCAAATCCAGCGTTCCAGATACCGTCTTCGCCGCTGTCGGGGCTTTGGCAAATGCGCTCGAAGAAGACTTTGCAAAATACATGAATTCGTTCAGCTCCTTCTTGTACAATGCTCTAGGTAACCGAGAGGAGCCTGGATTATGTGCCATGGCCATTGGACTCGTCAGCGACGTTACTCGAGCACTAGGACAGCTGTCTCAACCATACTGCGACACATTCATGAACTACCTACTTCAAAACCTCAGTGTAAGTGACTAGAAATGTCGCGAAAGATTACAGCATTGACCCGTGTGCAGGACAAATCCGTCAGTAATCAATTCAGACCGGCTATCCTCCAAACCTTTGGGGACATTGCTCAGGCTATAGGATCGCACTTTGAAACGTACCTGTCTGTGGTAGCTCAAGTATTACAGACAGCCGCCAGTGTTACGATGGGGGAGAGCGCCGCTTTCGAAATGTTCGATTATGTGATCTCATTGAGAGAAGGGATCATGGACGCGTGGTCGGGTGCTATCCTCGCGATGAAAACCAAACGTATGTATTTGAACACCTTTTGTGAGAACAGACTGACCAGCTTTAGCCCAAATCTTGATGCCGTATGTCGAGTCAGTATTCTCGATATTGAGTGTGATAGCTCAGGACCCCAACCGGAGTGAGGCTCTCGTACGCTCTGCCATGGGCGTCATTGGGTAAGTCATCAAGCGGGCGTCTTGCAATATCGCCGGACTAACGCCGGCACAGAGACTTAGCAGACACATTCCCCAATGGCGAATACGCCAACTACTACCGTGCCGAATGGATCACACAAATGATCAAGGAAACGAAGAGCAATCGCGAGTTCCAAGGGCGTACCATCGAGACTGCTCGCTGGGCTCGGGAACAAGTGAAGCGACAGACCGGGAACGCTCAAGCCGCTCATCTGTCTTAAAGAGAAGTCAGCTACTTGCAGTATTGACATCCGAACACGCTTGAGCTCGACCGGTTATCGTAGGAGTCTAGCCGGAGCCAAGCCGGAACCAAGCGCTGCGGGTCAAAGACTTCAGACTGGCCGAAGAATATCCACGCCGGGCTGTACTACTAGCTATCAGAGGTCACAATGCCCCACCGGCGTCCGACCAGGATGGCTCCACCGACGACAACCCCATTGCACTCCCAGCACAGCAAAGCACCATACGAGCACCATCACCCAGCTCCCACAAGCCACCACCTCCTCACCCAGATACCCCTCGCACGACCGCCACGTCATTTGTGTATATAGCACCGTCAAGCATCACCGAGTAACTACATCAGCACACTACTCTCAGTATCCAGGTCAGACGTTGATGCTCTAGCATTTCCCAGACCTTGTGCGTGCTTTTCCAGTTGCGTTGTTATGTAAGCCCAATCATGTATCCTACAGTCCTACTCGGAACCCAGACGTGCACCTTTGCGTTAGATGGTCGACAACGGCTTGTTTAGGATTTACACGCTGCAATCGACGATGAAGAGATCGAAGATATTAGACTAGGCTCATCAAAGACTGAAACGCTCCCAAGCCTACTCCATGTCGTACTTTTCGTACATTGGTCGCAGCTTCTAAGTGGTGCGTCTCAGGAATCTTCTCACAGAGGTTTCTTGGAGACGAACCTTTCTAGACTGAGTTCCGAATACCTTAGGGACTGAATCTTGCCCTTGCAACCGCAAGGCATCAAGCATAATGTAAAGTAGCTAGAAGTAGGCTTCTAGGAACGGCCGTTTCCGGCAGGAGTTCGGTCTCGTTACTTTCAATATGCATTGTTGCCAAGCCTCTGCAACTGCCACGTCTCACGCCCATGTTTGCAACATCGCATTATGCTAATTAAGAGGGGTGGTGTGAAACTGTAAACTTCAATGCGGTGGTCGATAGTTTGCTTTGTCTTCAGGAACTAGTTTTACGATGTAGGATGCCGTGCTCTACCAGATATGATTCAGTCATCTGTAGGTTGCAATGCAATCTTGTCGGGTATCATCGCTCTTGTCAATGCCTTCTTACCTCACCATCAAGTCATCCTCATTAGAAAGAAGACATAAAGCTGCCTAGATTTCAAAGGTCGAGCTGGATCTCACCACTCATACGTTGACCTATGCTTCAACCTGCTCATCAATATCATTCCCACCAACCTTCCTCTTCTCCTCAATGCGAGTCTTGGTTTTGGACTTGGCCTCCTCTACCCACTTATCATAAGCTCCGTCGCCTTCGCGTAGCTTCGATGCCGTGACCCCCTTCAAGACCTCCCCAATAAACCCGATAAAATTGTGTCGCCTCAGCGCGTTCTCCCACTGCCATGCATTCCGTTTCTGCTCCTCTTGATACAGCATGTCCTGGTCTCCAATCTCCTGCGCCCGTATTCGCAGATCGCGCACCATGGCCAGCAGATTGAACCTTATCTCATTAGCTGGGTATCTCTCGATCCTCCGCTGCAGGACAGGTATGACCTTGTCCGGGAATTCTTCGAACGAGCAGCTGCCGTGCGATATAGGCGCTGGCTGAAGTCCGTCCAGCTCGTAGAGTACTCCGTTGATTGGAGTATATGCAATGAAGTGGTAGACATCATCTTCTTCGCTGGCTAATCTTTGAGCTTCGTCGACGAAAGGCGATGATCGTGCGAAGGAATTGTGGACATCCCGTATCAGCTCGGAATTTGAGAGCGCTTCTCCTCGCAACTTAGGCCAGGTCAGCGTCCCCATTGGCTGTGCTTATTGGAAAACCACCTACTTCCGAAGGGAAGGCGCCTGTGAATTCTTTGAAATCCTTCAGTTGAGGACCGATCTCCACCTCATCCTCCTTGTTGAGCAACACCGAAAGCAGAGCCTGAGTGCCGCAAGCATTCTGTATTGTCTGCGCGGCGAAGAAGATATTCTCGGAAGCGTCAAAGTCGAAGTTGCCATCTGGTGGAGTATCGCTAGGCTTCTCTCCAGTAGGATATTTGAACAAGAAAATTACGCCGTACACTGGACTGTAGTTCCATGTGAGCGGCTTTCATTCAACGCAGCTTCATGTGCCCTGCCTTTCTTGTCTCAAAAGGGCGGCATCAAGAGCTATAAGCTCCTCAAACTGGACATGCTTGACTCCGAGGTTGTCGATCAGGAATGTGAAGACGCCCTATGAAAATCAGCGTCTTGCAAGTCTGAGGAAGGACGAGTCGTTACGTACAGCATCAGATTCGATAGTGTTCCATCCTGCCGACATCCTTGTGTAGATAGCGACGCAGTGTCGGTCAGTGGGGCGGAGCCACCAGAGCTACTGGCTCACGCGGGACTGTTCGTAACGTTGTTTGATCTACCACTACTAATCAATTGTGCTAGCAGTTCCTAAGACTGTATAACCCTTACTTTAACCGTGTACCGACCTTAGCACAAGAATCAACATCTTTCATGTGGCAATACGCTTTGCTTCTGCTTTTCACCTCTACGGTAGACCCTCGATCTCTAGCTTTTTCCACGCACGCGTTTCAACACTAGATTAGCTCTATTTGGCACATTGAGATTCGCCATTTAAAATTGAAATTTGGATAATAGCTATGGGGTAGAGCATGATGGACAAAACAACATTCTTCCTGACGCCCCCTCTATGCTCCCGCCAAAATGCAGCCAGACCCTTTTCCAATGCTTCCTCCATACTTCCCCTCCATCTCAATGACCCGATGTTAATGCAAAGCTTCAGGTCAAAGGTATATCCCAGCTCCGATGGTTGTTAGATAGTAGCGCAATGCCCTTCTTTTACATGTAGTGTACAGATATTTAGACATTGAAGAAACTGAAGAGGCTTTCGTTGTGCTCAGTTCATTTGTGGCTGCTTGCCTTTGTGTGGAGACTCGTCATGTCGGAAATCGCTGTATCCAATAGTCAGCAACATCACATTTACGCATTTGAAATCACACACCCTTCTGGAAAGCTTGGCGAGTGCCCTCCAAAAGCCCATGCTTCTTCGTCTGAATTGGCAATAAATCCGGGCGAGTATGACGAAGGCGAGTACGCCGGTGAGTCACCTCTAAGACTGTATTCGTATCCTGGAAGAGATCGATTGTCAAAAGAAAGGCTGTTTGGCCTTGGAGAGCTTTGCGAATACGGATTGGATCCCGGGCTGCCGTAATGAAGGAAAGGAGACGGCGGGTGGCTGAGGTCGTCGAAGTTGTGGCTCGGCAGCATAGGCGGAGTGCTCGGATACCCAGGCGGAGGATAGTCAGGAGTACCCGGTTGCGATCCCATGCTCGAATGCTGGAAGCTGTATGGACTGTGCTGACTATGTGGTGGAGTACTGCTTTGAACGAATGCTTCTTCTCGCCGGCTTTGTCCCAACCTCGACTGCGCCGCGATTTGGTGTCGAGCCAGCGTCAAGCGAGGAAGATGCATCAATTCGTCTAAGTCTGAAACACTCATTTCCGCACGAACAGTGATAGCTTGATTGTAGCGTAATTTTGTATCAATTTGCTCGATAGCATGAACGGTCAAGGAGCCAAGAGCCGCCCCACTAAGTTCGGGAATAGAAGAGTCAATGGCTAAGGCCAGCGTGTAGAGTTGCGCGAGAAGGACCATCGCCGAACTTCCCATGTCATTAGCTTTGACCAGAGTGACTGGCATCCAGAAGAGCCTCGCCCTGAGGGGCTGCAATTTCTCGAAGAGCTGACTGCTCTGCATGGAAGTGCTACATGACTGAAAGTCCTGCGCGAAATTCAGGATCTCGTGGAGCCGCTGTGCAAGAGGGTGGACGTTGGGCAGACGAGCCGACAATCGATGAAGCGAATTATTTGCCAGGAACAATGACTCGTCATCGAATGAGATTGAGGTACCCTGCATGGAATGCGGTGAGAAGAAGGCTGGGTGATCTTCAATGTACATTGAGAAACGTGAGATGTGCTTCCACGAACTCATGGAGTTAATGACCTGTAGTGATGTCAGACGGCTTCGGGTGGAAAAGAAGGGTAAAGTCCCACGGTGGATATGCCATGCATCAGCGAAGTCCAGCCCCCCTTGAAAGTGCGTAAGCAATTGCAACCCATACGGAATTCACGCGGCTCACCAATCCGATACCTGCCAAGATAGCAAGATCGATGCTGCCAGAACAGCGTCTGAATTGTCCCTAGAAAAATTGCCAATGGCGCCTTGGAGTCCTTTGAGCGCCACCCCCCGATGGAAGTAGGCAAGGTTCTTGGTTTCGACCGAGTTCGTCATCCAAGCAATGTGCGTGGCAGAGAGGGCCAAGATAGAGCTCATTACGAAATCATACCCGAAAGCCGCATCGAAGAAGCTAGACCGTGGGCGTGAGCCAATCGAGTGAAGGCGGGACTGTAATCGTTGGAGCTTACCTAGGAATTTGCTGCACCCACAACGTGCATTGCACGAAGTCTGCAAGCCTCATGTCTCTATAGATACTCGATAGATGATGAATCAGGCGCAAGTCAATCGGGGAAAGGCCACGGAAATGCTGAGAGGACTGCAAATCCATCTCAGGAAAAGGGAAAACGCCTGTCCGTTGCCATGTTTCGATCTCGCTCTCAATCCTTGGAGTCCAGAGAAGGTTCGGCTCTTCCAGAGTCCGAGGAGCTTCTTCCGAAGGAGGATGGTCCATGTAGTCACATCTGCAGTTATGCTTTGTGCAATTTTTGCTGTCTTTGCTATCAGCCTTCGATTTGGGTCAACATAGCGCGAACGAACGTACCATTGCGGAAAAGTCTCGTCGCACCGGATGTGCCTTCTTTTACAGGTTCTGCATCCTTTTCTCGATTTCGTATGACTCTTTCGAGTCGGACCGGTGCCGTGGGGAGCCATTCAGACCTAGCTCAAGTGCTCGGAGAGTTTTCGTGTGCTTCTTGACGTTGCTGTTTCCCGAGCGAATGATCCTGTGCCAAACCCACTCGTTTTCACGTTTTTCTTATCTACTTCGACGGATTGATGACGTGAATAAAGAGAAGGAGTGAAGCGAAGGTGCACAGCAAGGAAGCAGCGGTATCGGCGGGCACAGTTGGTTTTGTTGTTTTAGATCTGGTTACAATGAAAAGAAGACGGTGGAGAGCAGCGGTATGGCTCGGACTGTCATAACGAGAGCACAGATGGAAGATGATAAACGAATGTGGTAACTGGGGTTACTAAGGCTCCGATTATGTTTCAGGCTGATGCAGAGAAATCCATGTTTTATAGTCAAGGATGAGTATACAACTGCTAGGTACGAGTTGTTCAGCCAGCGGAAATGTAGTACGAGGAAGAATCAGTCATCAAAAATAGAAGCGCGGAGGTTCATTTTACCTATGGTGTAGCTTCGCCTTCACCAACTGGAGATACCCGGCAGTACTTAGCGAGTTAGGGTTGAGGGTAGCGAAAATGACATAGCTCCCTGCAAGTAATCGGGCGAAGTGAGATTGTGATGTGATAATGGTCGAGTAAGTGGTTAAAGGAGCAGGTGCGGTAAGGTACAGGGATGAAGAGACTACTGGTGATACACTGGGCCGTCAGGTCTGGTGTTTTATTGAAGGAGAGATGCAAGGCGTGGGATTGAATAGAAGCGGGTCGAAGGCGCGACAGAGGGAAAGTACGCATGGAACTCCTCCTCCTGGCTTGGAAGCAGTAGTCGAGGAGCAACGATGTGACTGGTGGTTGTAGTCGCGGTCGTGGTCGTGCTGGTGATTCCCATGGATCCAGCCCGAGAGTCTTTCTTTAGGTAGTTCCTTCACCTCGCGATACGAGGCGGGCCGAGGTCAAGCGCAGGGCCGCATGCAACCCAAGGCTAGAAAGTAGAAAGGAGATCAAGAGGACACTGTTGATTTGGTGAAAGGTAATAGAGAGAGGAGATCAGGATGACATCAACGGAGGGGCTGTGTATAGAGGCAACGGCCAGGGGAAAAAAAAGGCGAGATATGCAGTAAACGGAAAGTCAAGAGAGCCCTTACCTAAACAGGCGCACAATGTACATTTATAGTTTGGTGTGTTTATATAAATAGATTGTTGTGCATACTACCTTACTCTAGCAATGAGTCTGTTTGGCTGCCAAGCCTCTGCAAAGTATCAAGCAAACCAAACCACCATGATTTTATTTGAATACTCGTATTTCCAGCATTGCCATTGTTTACCAACAACTTCGTATTGGAAGTTTGCGAAAATTCAAAATCTAAATATCGCATGTCTTGATCTTCTGAACACACGGGCACGGCCTCTATCTCTTCCTACTCTAATCCCGCCTTCCTCCTTGCCCCTTCCAGTAATTTCTTTCACCAACGTCGGAATTCTCTACCCGTGACACCTGCGGTCAGCTTTGTGATCAGTATTAACCTGCTGAGCTCAGCGGCCGTTCTGGCTTCTAAGTTCCACTCTCGAGCTGCAGCATGATTGCATCTCTGCTGGGATTCGTCGACTTGATGAGACGGAGAGCGCATCATTGGAATCGTTTGGGGTAATCCGGAGCCGTTGGCCTTCGGTGAGATTTAATGCAGTTCGGCTCCACCGATGTCTTTATTCACGATTCCGGAATCATAGGCCGACGTTGCATCTCGGGCCTGTCTCAGTTCTCTTCTGCGGAACTGGTCTTACCTTGACGGCTTCCATACATGCAAAAAAGCTTCAAGTAATCTTATGCAAGATATTTCTCGCAACATTAGATTATTGCAACCCTTCTATTTCCATCCATCTGCAAATAGTCATTGCAAAGCTTTCACGTAGCCTAGCGAGCTCTTCGAAGAGTAGATGTCCTGGTAGTATTATGCTCACAACTCGCTTGGCGCCGTCGCCAACTGCACGCCCAGCCAGTACTGATCCACAGTGATCATCAACAGGCCACCGAGACTACAAAGCCGACCAATTTTCCTTTACTTGTCTCCATTCTTGTGAGAGATCTTACCGGATTAATAGATATAATACTGGTCAAGCATTGCGACTGCCAGAACGATCTATGCACAATGGCCAGGTCAAATTCGGTCACAAGCATCGCCAATCAACGCACTGTTTTCCCACGAATGTGAAGTCGGGTGTCGAATACGTTGCGCAGCAAATGCTTCACGAGTCTAAAGCAGTCCACCTGGATCTGTTGCAATCCATGCATTGCAGCCTCAACGCCACCATACCGGTTGCTTCAACCTGCTGAAAATGCTCAATACCGCTGACCCTTGTTTTGAACGACGCCTGGATCACCTACGCCCTTCAATGCAACGGGAGTATAAGCACATATCGTATGCGGAAACCCTGCCACTACCTTTTTGCCTCTTCTCGATACTTCGAGCCATCGCTGTGTTCTCATTAAACCGTGATTTGAGGAATTGCAGATCATAACCATGAGCAGCGATAAGGGATGTGAGCAGTACCATCATCGCATCCTCGTCACATTCACAAAATCAGAGGTCGTATGACGCTCTTAATCTCTGCTGATCTGATTGAGGAAGCTGGGCAATGAACGCGTCAAAGTCTGGGATCAGAGATTTGTATCCGACAAGATTCTATAATTTTCATTGTAAGTATGGAGTGCGCATCGGTAGTGAAATTTCGGCTTACCCGTTGAAACGAGCCCTCAACTGTCTCATCTTGGTGGAAAGGACTGGTCCCATCTTTCTTGTACGCAGCGCTTGCTTTGAAGTATTCAAGCAAACAACTTCCCATTGCCTGGGGATTTTTCTCGATTGTACGATTGAGGCCAAGGAATGCATGGCCTTTTTCGTCATTGTTTTCGACGGGTTCGATGATATGCAGGAACGGGTTTGCAAATTCGGCGAGATGTGGTGCTAGTTGTTGAGAACAATCAACTCCAAGCCGACCCAGAGCGATGACGGCGTTCTCGCCAACAGATGTCGGCACCTGCGGGTTGCCGATGATGCTGCTGAGGCTATGGTAGATTTCCTCCACGAAAGGTATCATTCCTTGCTTATACTTCATCGCTATCTCTCCGCAAGACCAGCATGCGTTATTGATGACACTGAACCCTGTGTCAACGTCGTCATCGCGCAAGTTGTCGAGATCCAGTTGTCTGATCAACACAGGTATTAAAGATGGAAGGAATGGATTCAGCTGAGGAAAAATGTTGACTGCGCAATCCCCTAGCAAAGCATAAGATGACTGACGTACATCATTGCTGGGATCCTCCATGCAGAACATGAGTAAATCGAAAAATCTTGGCTGAGATGAAGTTACAAGCTCACCACTCTTAGCAGGAGCCAAAGCCTGGATTATCGCACTAAGGAGGTCAAGACTAGTGACCAGGAAGTCCTTGTCCGGCTTCTCCATTGGCTCGTTGTGGACTGCCAGGAGGTACTGCTCCAGATTCTGGTGGATAATTCGAATGCATCGTGCAAATATGGGGATGGCGAACGGGGCAAAGGCATCACCCAAGGCTGTAGCAACGTATGATAGGCACTCAAGCAGTGGAAATAACTCCTGTGACTGATCCGAAACTTTGCTCCACCTTTTGATTATGGCCGGCATCAACAGATCAATTAGGTCCTGTCTCCTGAGTGGTGGCCCCACTTGTTCCGCCAAGGTCTGTACACAATCATATAAGATGAACATGTTTTTGTCCTTATACCTCTCGAAGCACTGAACGAACTGCTGGATAATCGGCGCACAGTAAGGAGTCAATTCCTTACTCGCTCTCTCTTCTAGGTTAGCAAAAGCTGATGCTGCGGACTCTTGCACCCTTTTGCTCTTGTCCAACATCCTATTCAAAATTCCCTCCATCATGGGTTCGAAAAACGATTTCTTGTCATTGGGGTTGTCGAGCTGCGAAGCCCAGCCAGAATAGCGCCCCAGGGCCCAGCAAGTAATCACTCGGACTGCAGGCTCAACATCGCTGAGCAGCGAGATAAGATACGGGACCAAGTCTGGGAGATGTGGGTTTATCGCTTCCATGCACCCTTCAGCGACGGCACCAATTGCCAGCACCGCAGCTTCTCGATTTGGCCAATCTTGATGACGAAGATTCTCCTTCAAATAGGGGAGCGCAATTTGGAATACGGAGGCATGAAATGTCGAGGCAAGAACGTCTAAAGCTGCAGCTGAGCATTTCCGGAGATTCCATTGTTCTTCAGCATCAGTTACACCATCATCGTCTTCCTCGACCTCTCCTTCGCTGAGAGCATCATCGTCAGGCATCACATGCTTGGAGCCTTGTCCGTTTGCTCCTCCATCGGCGGCTTGACCGTTGGTAAGCGTCCTGGGTGTCTTGGATCTGACGAAGTGCGGTTTGATGTCCTCTGCTCGATCATCCACCTCTGCGTCATCTCCGTCTCCTTCTAAATGCATCACAGCTTCTTCGTCATAAACCATACTTTCCAGAAGAACAGGAACGATCTTGTGGAGATACGGTCCCAGGGTGGCACACATTTTGTCGTTCTCGCTAATTGCAAGCCAGAATTCAGCGGCCTCTAAGGCTAGATCTGGGTCATCGGTGTTCCTCTGCTGAATGGCCATGTAATCCACCAAACCTCCCATATGTGGCTGAACTTTGTCAGGTCTGATATCTACAATCAGTACAAAAGACCGGCAGACGTTGCGGCGGACATCGTCGCTAGAATCATTCGCCAATTGAAAGAGTCTGGCAAGAATCGGGTCCAGTGATGCTACGAGAGCCTGGGGCTTTTGAGGGATGAACGAGTTGAGGCTGGCCAGCGCCAGCGCGCGGACCCTGGCGATTGGACTGGATGTAACGTCAAGTAATCGAGGTATTATGAAGTTGAGAGGCCGTGTCCCCTCGTAAACCTTGTCGAGCTCCCTCTTACTATCTTCGCAAACCTTGGCCAAGGCACCCATCGCTCCTTCTTGTGTCGATGGGGTGATATTGCCTCGTTCATTGCCTGCTAACGAAAACAACTCTGGTAAAAGCTCAGGCCAACCGAGAACACCCCCTCGTTGAACTGTCTCGGTGATAACAGTACCGGCAAAGCTCCTTATTTGCGAATTGGGATCTTGTAAGCACACAAGCACAGCCGCCCGAATATAGGCATGGCTTGGCTGCGGTATGTCTTTATAATAAGCCTTGATGTTATTTTTGAGGCTCAAAGCTGCTGAACTCCGCACGAGGTTTAGATTCGCTGAGTTGAGGTTCAAAGTCTGCAGTAATTGCCCGTTGGAGAAGATGTAGGTCAAGTAATTTGTAATATCTGGAGAAGATTTCGCTTGGGCAAGCATCTATTTCACGTTCTATATTAGTAGAGTTTGGTTTAGAAGGACGGAACGACGTCTTTGAAAAGTTAAGAACTCACATGAGTGGCATTTCTTTGGGCTGTCTGGTCGTGTGCGCTCAATGCATCCTTGAGATAGCCCACCAATTGCGTCAATGGCTCTGCCTCTGGTTGCCACGCCATAGGAGCCGCCATGCTAGGAGGTAAAATCTGGAATAGCGCAGCGCTGAGATAGCCGCTAGTAGATGAAGTACGCCTAGTCACATTCAAGAGATCGAAATTTTGTGCAGCAAGAGCTAAGTCCAAAGTTTGTCTATGAAAGCAAGGACTCTGGGTGAGCCAAGGTTGCCTTGGATCCTCCCAAACAAAATCAGCACAACCCGGATCGATGTCTCGCCCAATAGCTTAGAGTTGGTGCTGCATGATTTGTACTGGCGCGGACCCTCAGTCGGGAGATAAAGTGATCTCTGCAAAGGGTTGACGGCTCAATGTTTCTTCTCTCTTGTCAAGCAGGTCTCGGTATACCCAGAGTTGTGGCACAGTCGATAATAGTAGAAGTTTGAAAGGTAATGAGGCTGCGATCTTCTCCCGACAGTAAAAACAGTTGCCCCATAGTAGCGTGGTTTAGAGGGGAAGCTCGGAAATATTTGTGGTGTGCAGGAAGCATTGCCGCCTTTACGATCGGCACCGCGCTTAACTGCGCTTAAAGGCCTAGTTTCACTACTTCATTTATGGTTGCCCACTGTGGTAACGAGTCACTCTTCCACTGCAGTGCTCTGAATAGCGAAATAAAGGACGATCCACTCCTAGTCAAATCATCTATCTCATAGCGCAAGTGTTTTGGAGATGTATAATTCCAGTGGTGGGAATTGGTTGATCCACTGACCTAAGCGATCGCATCCTTTTCCCTGGCATATGAAAGACTTTAGCCTTGAAACAAGTGGGTAAGCATTGTTGCTTTCCTCCTCTATTTGTGAATCCTATTGGACCGTCATGTGCTACATATACCGTTTCTCTCGGCCCTTCTAATTTTTGTTTGACTCGATTTTCTTATCAAGTGATAAGTCTAACGGAATCTCTCACTCGAACGATCTTCAGTTATACGAGGGGAAAGTCGACTACTAGCCTCACGTAGAGGCACTAGAGGGTGCAAAAAGTCATTGAATAAACTAGTATCATAATAGGTATGTCATTCTAGTATGTAAGAAACTTTATTCTTTTTATCTAGAAATTTATTACTTTATAATAATAGTAAGCTTAGTAAAGCTTAATAAAGCTTAGTAAAGTAAGTATCTTTCTCTTATCTTACGTAATAATATTTCTATAGATAAGAAGAAAGTATAGCGATCTCGCTAAAGTAAGTAAAGAAGTAAATATCTATTTAAAACTTTTTAAAGAAACGTCTTTTTTTTTAAAAGAAACGTCTTTCTTAAAAAAGTCTTTTTTTAAGAAATATTCCTTCTTAAAGAAATATTCTTAAGAAACTTATAAAGAAACCTTCGAAGAAATTCTCGAAGAAATCTTCTTTTTAAAGAAATTAAAGAAAGCTAATACTTATATCTATAAGAAAGTAAATACTCGACGAAATTCCCGAATTCTTATCGTGGTGTTTTTTATTTCTAGCGAGAAGGCGTTTCTTAGCGAGAAGGTATTTTCTAACGAGAAGATATTTCTTAGCGAGAATAATATGAATTATATATACGTACTAGTTCGTCTTTATATTCTTTAATAAAATCTATAGTATTATTAAGATTTTTAATATTATATTACTTATTATATACTAAATCGTAATCTTTTTATTTAATAAGATATTTTATAGTAAAACTACGATCTTTAATTATAATTCTCTTATTAAATAATTAGTCGATCTTATAAAACTTTTATTTCTTAACGAGTAAAGGTCTATAAATTAAATTTATAATTTCTTTTTTAATTAGAGCTATCGAGTAAATAGATAGCGATTTAGATAAGCGATCTTTAATAAGCGAACTTTAGTAAGCGATATTTGAATTTCTTACGCTTTAATAATTATAAGATTTTATTTAAATATTCTTTTTTTATCTAAAAGCCTATATTTCGTTCTATAATTTAAAAAAAAATTAAAATTTTAATAGAAAATAAAAAAGTTATTCTATATATTATCTTATAAGCTCGAGTAATAGCGAAAATTTTAGATCTATCTATTAAAAGTAGAATATTAGATATATTAGAAATTAAATAATTATAACTAAAAGACTAATTATTAATTTATAAAATATACGAATATTTATATATATAAAATAAATGATTAATAGTAACTAATAATTACTAGTTCTAGTAATACGCGATATATTATACGATAGTCGAAGGGGCTAATATTATAATACTCTTCGATAGCTCCTAGAAGCTAGATTTTCTAAATCCTAGTATATCGTATTTCATATATATTAGTTTTTAAATCTACGCTTTATATTCGAGATTAATTATTTACCCGACCTCGTTAAATCTATAAAAAACCTCGATAGAGAAAATAAAAAGAGTGTCGAGACTTTTTGAATACCCGTTTCGGAACCTCGAAATAATATAAGGGTTTTTAATATTTTGCTCGTATTGTTTCGAGACCTCGAATAGTTTGCTCGTATTATTTCGAGACCTCGCCCGTATTATTTCGGGATCTCGGAATAAGGATTTTAATGGTTTGCTCGTATTGTTTCGAGACCTCGAAATGATCTAAGGATTTTGATGGTTTACCCGTATTGTTTCGAAATCTCGAATGAAATAAGAATTTTAGTTCGATATTTTTTATGTAAGATAGAAATTAAATAGCGATAGCCCTCTCGTCGATGGGTACGAGTTAAAAAAATGGGCTGTCGCTATAAGATATATCTATTTATAAACGATCATCGAAGACTTAGTTTAATATTCATATTAGAAAGTATAAGAATATTCGATACTACTCTATTCGCTTTCGAGCTTATAATCTATTAAAAGTAGAATATTAGATATATTAGAAATTAAATAATTATAACTAAAAGACTAATTATTAATTTATAAAATATACGAATATTTATATATATAAAATAGGTGGTTAATAATAACTAATAATTACTAGCTCTAGTAATACGCGATATATTATACGATAGTCGAAGGGGCTAATATTATAATACTATCGTATATAGATTAATTATTTTAACGAATTATATAAACTATATAATAAAGACTATATATCGAATTCTATAAAATAATTTATTTTAAATAATTTACGTTCTTTATAATATGTTAATACGATATATCTATTATTTTTACTTATAATAAGTTTAGTAAAATCTATTATTCGTTTTAGCTTACGTATTAATAGAGAGTTAATAAATAGTTAATAAATAGTTAATAAATAGTTAATAAAGAGTTAATAAAGAATTAATTATAAAGTAATATAATAGTAATTCTATATTAGTAAATTATTATATCTTAGTATACTATAAGTAGCTCTATATAAACTATATTTAATATCTTTAATTATACGCTCGTACTAGTATATCTAGATAATAGATATCTACTTAGTTTATTTAATAGCTACTATATTTATTATCTAAATAACTAAAATAAACGTTACGCTACGCTATTAATCTATAATATTATTATATAATACTATCTCTTCTTTAAGCTTTAATTATATATTCGTTTATATATTAAATAAGTATTATATAATATAAATAAATATAACTAATTTATCTAAAGAAAAAATAATATTATATTTAATAGATATACGCTTAAAATAATTAATTTATAATATTAACTATAGCGCTACTTTTTTTTTAAATAAGTTTCTATTAAGATTAAAATAGTTTTTTTTATAATATTTATATATTTAATAATATATTATATAGTAGTATAATAATCTTTTATAGTCTCTCTTACTATAGATAATTAATAACTCATTTATTTTTATATATATATAAGTATATAGTACTTCGTCGAAGTCTTTAGTAATATAAGTAAGTTTATCTATCGAGCTCTTATAAGTATATTACTTTTTATATATATTCTAAATAATACGACTTATCTAGCTAGTCTAATTTATTAAAAATATTAATTATATAAATAATATTATAATATAAAGCTAGTAATTTATATATATACTAATTTATCTATCGTCTATATATTAAAAGATTTAATATTATATTTAGTATTAAATTATTTTTAATATTTTCTAAATCGTCTTAATATAGCTCTATTATAATATATATAATAAGAAAAATATATTTCTTTTAATAATAGATATATATAAAATATTATAGTAGTTAATTTTTTCTAATATTAATCTATATATAATTATTAATACTATATATATATCTTCGATTAACTTTAAAAAAGACTTTATTAATTTATTTAAGAAATATACGCTATATTATACTTATAAATCTATATAAATAATTTTATAATATTATTTTAAAGTAGCTATATTAAAGTTTAATATATTAAAACTATATTTATTTTTATAAATAATTATAAAGTATTAAATAAAGCTATATTATAAATTAAGTTTTATTAAATTAATTATTATCTTAATATAAAAGAATTTATTAAATATAAATTTTTTAAGCGAGATCTATATAGAGTAATACTCGCTATCTTTTATAACGCTATAAAAGTCTTTTATATAATTCTTATCTAGATCTTACTTATTAATTAAAAAAAAGCTTTATATTAATATTATATACTAATTATTAAATAATCTAAATATTTTTATTATATCTAAATAATTATAATTTTAAATATCTATTAAAGTTTAATTATAATAATTATTATATTATATTCTTTATAAATAAATAATTTATTAAATTTAATAGCGTTATAGCGTTTATTATATCTTTAAAAACTCTAAAAAGTAATTATTAATAATTACAATTATAGGGAAAATAGTATAAATAACTTATACTTTAATTCTCTCACTAAAATATTTAAATTTATAACTATTATATACTCTCTAATATTATTTATAAGATAAAGATTTATATAAATATTCGAAAGCTTAAAAAGCTTCTTAAATTTATTATTACGAGGTTTCCTTTATTTTTATTCTTATTTTTTCTTTTTTTTTCTCTTAATCTTAATTAGTTTAAGCTTCGATATATACTATAATACTTCTATTTTCGAGTTATTATACGCTATATTCGAAAGAACTTTCTTTAAAATAATTTTATCTTTCAAAATTA